ATATAGGATAAGTAATATATATATACTATATATATATATATATATATATATATATATATATATATATATCCATGGCTCTCTTGGATCGTACGAATTTTATTTCGTTGTTTTTATGGTTCATATGAAACATCACTTTTGTACGTTACATATACTACTTCTGGAACTTCCGACAAAAGAAGAAACTGTGACAAAGCTAACCAGTTGATAACTAGCTTGTGCTGAAGTCAATGCTTTGGTTGCTTGCTCGAAACGACCACTATGATAGGCAACTACTCCTTCTAAGAGGTCCAACCGCAAGTATCTGTTGAAGAGTTTCCACAAAATAAGCTTCAAACAACACACAAAACAGTGTGTATCAAAGATGTGCAAAATCCCAAGCAAAAAAATCCCTCTAGCTTTGTGTCTTGGCCCAGAGGCTTGTATTGTAGCATAGACCCGTGGCTTGGGGGAGGGGGAGAAAGAGAGTGTGTTTGTGTTAACAGTAAGCATAAACCTTACATGGGAAGCTCTGGTCTGAGACCTGCTTGGATAAGCCTAACTCGATTAGAGTTCTTGCCATGAGATCGTTCAAGCCCTTCACGTGCTTTCTCAAGACGGAGACCAGCCATAGAAAGCCATGAAATGTCTCGGAGCATGAAATAGCACCACACCATATCTATTTGAAGTATTGGTACATTGTCAATCATCTGGAGATGCAAAACATTGATGAACACATATGAAGAGAAATGCACAACAATTATTATTCTTTGTGTAAGTTGTTACCCCTACAATTACCAGAATAGCACAAACTAATGACTATACAACATATTCTTAAGAGCGAACCTCTATAAGCTTGGGGTCACAAAGGGAAAACGCCTCCTGGAAACCAAAAAAAAGGACAATTGTCATTACTTTATAATCAATAGCTGAAGCCACAAAAATGATTGGCACATTCCTAACTCATATTTTACCGAGAAATGATCATGAGGTTGCTCATAGAAAAAAAAATGGGCAGGAAATAAATATGAATAACCTGCCTTGGATGCTTTCAATTGTTTTGTAAATAGTTCTGGGCAAAATAAACTATGTGGTTCACAAGACCTACACAAAGATGATTGTAAGAACAATAGTGAGAAAAACATGCCTCTCCCATCATGAGTATATCCAATGCATCCTTGTATTGGCCTTTCTGGATTAATGTTTTAGCGTTGCTATGAAGCATCAAACCCGTCATCACAGCCCTGAAATTTTGATGGAATCAACATCTAAAAGCTTGAATATCAAAATGCTTACAACAGAAATCAGACCAAATTTCAGTTGAAATCGTTGTTGAAAATGAAATTTTAGATCAAACTTATAACAAGAAGAAACAACTAAAAAATTTTGGTGGACATCTCAACCCCAAATTCAACAAAAGCACCATTTTCAAATAAATTTTTTAAAAGGCATTTCTTGCCAAACTCTTAGTGAACCTTAGGTTTCACTCTGAATTTATTTCAGGGAAGAATAGCCGACAAATTGACCTAGTAAGGATTCCTATTTTGGACAGCAAGGGTCAGCTCTGAATCCCTGTTTAAACAGAACTGAAATTTCCCACATCTACTTCACAGACATAATACTGGAGCAAATAAAGGATAGAGCATACACCTTTGGTCAGTCTCAGACCCCAGATTTATTCGCTGCCCACTCTGATCCTCGAGCTCAATATTGAAGTCTTCCAATGGTAAAGAACCACTTGAATGCCTGCTGGCCATTGCAACTGCCGCATCCCTGTCATTCTAATGGGGGTCAGAGAACTCCAATACAATATGCTTATATGCTCTATAAAATAGGAATGTACAAACAAAATCCCCTTCAAAAGTAACCCAAAACAGAAAAAAATGTAATACTAGTAGTCAACTGCGAGACCACAGAGCTTGCTCAATGTATTTACATCATAATTGTTTTGAATATAGCCGGGATCAGTCTTGTTTTGTAGTTAGACGTGAAGATTTTAGTTTAGTGCCACTTTCTTTTAGAGTAGAACCTTTAGTTCCGTTCCCTTCATTTCTTACAATATCTTAGAGTATCATCCATGGCTTTGGTTCCGTTCCCTTCGTTTCTTACAATATCTTGAGCACCACCAATTGGTCACTCAAATCTATCGATTATAGAAAAATTTGTGCACCATTTGCAAAGCAATTGAGTCCATCACTGAGTTAATAAATATAAAGCTAAAACGGATTCTATTTGGTCATGCATGTACTTCTATAATTTACGCATAAACATTTACCACCCTTAAATGAAGAAGAAACATCATATCCAGAAAAGCCCATGAATTTCATTATTTAGCGGTCTAACAAGCTTTTCACGTATTTTTTTAAATTTCCTCTTTTCAGAGAAATCCTAGTTCATTCACCCATCCAAATTGAACTCAATTTGCCATCCAAAAAATTTATACCACACCAACAAATCATTGTCAACGAAAAAATTCTTTCCAGTATGTTCCTAAAGATCTCAGTGCCATTACAGTAATTTGCAAGAAGGATAATTCGAAAAGTCTATCATGTTTGTGAAATCATCAATGCATCCTCATTATGATAACAAAGCCAAAAGGGATTCAAGAGTCAAGATATCCAATAGGTAGTATAGGAAAAATATGTAGTACAAGAAAAACTAAAACTGGACTAGCTACTATAAGTATAAATAAGGATTTTAATCCCTCAAAGAGAAAAAAGGAGTAGTTAATAGGGTCGACATGCTTTTGAAAGCTACAGAAGCAACTTCTTCACCAAAATTCTAATACATTCAGTACTTCAAAATTCAAATCCAGTAGTACATGTAAGGAAAGTGTACGATAAACTGATGGTGACATCTGGGGACATCCATTGTCCATTCCCAATAACCAACAGTGAGGATCAGCGCAATAATCATCACCATCCATCATGGGGAACAGACGATGGATGTCCTTTTTGTGTACAATAGGTCATGCACCATATGGTATATTTGCCCTTACATGCATGCAGCAAAACAGATAAGGACCACAAGCCACTATTTTTATCTCCCCCACTGCAGATCACCACCAAAGTTCATAGCGTGGAAAAGTAAGAAAAGTAAATTCTGTGACATAAATTCGATGTCTGCTAAAGATGACTAGCATTGTCACTTAACCCTATAAGTTCTAATGCCTATCTATGATTGTCATACACTCATGGCTTCTCAACTCACTACGGCATTGCAACTGAAGTGATCAGAACCATTTAATCCTCCATGGAGCCCAAATTAACTATATTTGGTTGCTAAATTCCAGAGAACATATCAGAGTGAATTAAAAAAGAAGAAGTAAATCACAATATGCCAAAAATAAAAAATCAACAGGCTAAAGGAAAATTTCATAATTTCCAGTCTAAAACAAGCCATAGAAATAACAAAGATCAACGAAAGTAATAAACACAGAAACAATTCATAGCTCCCAATGTAGGATCATAAAAAACAATAAAAAAAGAAGGACCCATAAATACAATAAAAAAGAAGAAAAGACATATAATATCAAAGAAGAAAAGAACCCAATGGAAAAGCAGAATGACCCATATAATAAACACAACAAAAGTCAAGTTTTGCGAAGAACCTGACTCTGTTGAGCCTTCGCGATCGCTCTTCCTCCTCAGCCATGAAGGCATTAAGAGTATTTCCTGAATCCGGAGAGGTTCTACTAGCCAAAATCTTCGAATTGTTCTTGAGACTGAAATCGACCAGTTTTTTATCACCCACTGCATCTTTGAGAACTTTACCACTGAATATCAGGTTTAAGCGGTTGGCGGAGCAATTTGATCGTTTTCCAATCTCTTCCTTCAACATGGGTAGGGTCCATTCCTCCAACTTAACTTCCAAAACTCCAGACCAGGCACCCCCAATTCTTATCTTGCATTGTTCTTCTTTCTTTGGTGAAGTTTCAGTCTCCATCGTAGTTGCACAGAGAGAGAGAGAGAGAGAGAGAGAGAGAGAGAGAGAGTAGTAATAAGTAAGG